GGCCAAATCATTTTACACAGTTTGAAATCTACTATGAGGTCATTCTTTTTTGTAACTAATCCAAAAATTTTATTTTTTTATTATTTTTTTAAGATTATAAAGGCAAAGATAAATCTCTATTGTCATCAGTCTTCAGATAATGAGTATCTAAACACATTCAATGTTTCAAGGCACAAAAAGAAACCGTCATTGTCCCCTGGGATTGTGATCATTTCCTTATTTTAAATTTGAATGCTGCAGCTGCAGCTTTTGGGTGGACGATTACCTGTGAAGTGCCCAGTCACATATCAGTAACAAGCCAGAGTTGAATGCTTAAAAGAAGTTTGTTAAATTATTAGTCAGCTTTTGCCAACATCAGCAACTGACCTGTAAACACCCTGACTGTCTAAAACCCATCTGCTATTCTGAATCTTACACTTCAGTGTGGTTTATGAGATAAAGGGCAACAGCTGACCACACTCTGCCCCAAGTTAAGACAAACAAGTTACATCTGCTATTCATTTGAGAACAAAGTATGCTCAAAGAGCCCATACACAAACGAATCGGAAGTAGAAACAGTTGTCAGGCGTAATTAGCAAGGTCTTTATATGAGTGGGTAGCCACAAGCTATATTTTTGTCATTAACTGTATACTGCTGTTCATTTTTATCTTATTTACTCAAGATTGAGGTCTATTAACCCAACATATTTAATTAGTGAATAAATACATGCTTCTGCTTTAGAGTTCATGGGATTTTAAACCTAAAGATCTGTTAAATCCCATTTAACTTTCTGTCTGGGGCTGATAATTTTTCCTCCAGAATTATCTTGCTGAATCCGAACAGACCCGAGAACGCCGCTTAATCTGCTTTGTGGCATGTTGATCTGCCCCTTAGTGTGCAAATAATTCATGCAACTGGTTTAATGGGGGACGGTATTGGAATTGTTATTGAAAACCTAGTCTGTCAGCAAACAAGGCTTTCTTATGGCAATGTGGGCTGCCCGCCAGCTCTCAACAGTCCGGGATTGTATTTTGTTTTTAAATGTTCCATTCATCTATCTCACTCATGTTCTCCAGGCTTCTGTGCACAGAATTCAGACAAACCAGTTCGATCCCAGAATATGAATGAGGTCTGTGGTGGATTAGACTAGCTGCATGTTGTGTTGATAATTAATGTGTGCATGCAGGGGAGCAAGGTCACTTTCTTGATCACAATTTTAATGCTTGTAAGACACTAACTACTTTTAGTAAAGAAGCTTAAACACGGTTATAAAGGCTTTTACAAGGTGACATAAAAGGGCTTGATATACTGACAGACATTTACTTTGACCTAAATCTTGAATGTGGTATCGAAGCAGTGTTGTAATTTCCATGTAAAGAGCTGTGTTTGAACAAACGCCTTTGTGATGCAGGAACAGGTTTATTTTCATGTAATTCATTTTTCAAGTAAGAACTGGTCTTTTATGGATATCTTGTGACAACTATAGCTTAAGAAAAATGCTGCATATAATGAATAAAGCTGCCATAACACTCAAACTTTATTGAAATCTGCTCATCTCTTCTTTGTTTTGAATATTAAAGGTGACTTTCAGAGAATAGATGCTAATGTCTGCATTGTTTCAGTGTTGCTATTTATTTATTTTAGCAGGAAATTTAATTCAATTAATAAAGTTAATTGATCCTGAAGAAAAATTAAATAAACTGCTCATTTCAAGTGTGCTCCTCTGGGCTGTGTACAGATCTGTCAAAAATTTAAAGTTTTTTGTTTTATTTTAGCTCAGATGCTGCAACAAATAACAGCTGTGATATGCAAATGTTCACCAAAGGTTTCTATTCCCTCTTACGTTATCGCCATTGTAAAGCAATTGACTTGTGTTTTTTTTTTTTTTTTACATCAGAGCTGTATATTTTCAAAATTTACCTGTTTCTGGATAATGTTTGTAAATAATTTCTTTTTCATTATTTACTCTGAGAAGTCAGACTTCTTTGATATTTGGAGGCTGACATGTTTGCCCATTTGTTTGTTGAGCTCAAGCTCAGTCATACTGGATAGAGAGCATCTGTGAACATCAGTTTTCAACTCTTGATACAGATTGTCTATTGGATTAAGGACTTAACTGTTACTGGGCCATTCGAATACATGGCTGCTTTGATCTGATTTATTCATTGTGGCTCTGGCTCTATACTTGGGGTTGTTTTCCTGCTGCAAAATATACTTCCTCCTTAGTCAAATTTTTTGCAGCCTCCTTTAGGATCTGATGACGGGAAATTTCTGTGTTTTACTTCATCGAGCTTGTTATTAATGTTGATTAGGCCTCCTGTTCATGTGGTACAAAAAGTGTCCCCACAATATCTTGCTGCCCCACCATGCTTTGCCACAGCTGTTGTCTTAAGAGCAATTTGCAGTGATGCATATCTGCTATGCATACCTTGCAAGCTGGTCTCGTATGCATACAACTGCCTTCTGCATGCTGTGCACCTAACATGTTTTTTTTTTTTTTTTAAGAAAATCACAAAGAAGACTTCTGTTTTTTGCCACACTTCCATATGGTCAACTTTTGTGTTTGTTGTAGGATTGTTGTGGATTTCTGCAACTCAGTACCTTGGGCCTCTTGGTTTCTTTTATAAATGATGCTCCTCGTTAGTTTTGCCGGGGACACCTGTCTCCTGGTAGTTTTGTAGTTGTCCCATACTCGCCCCCAATTTTAGAATGCTTTAAACAAACGTCTGTGAGATGCTGAAAGTTTCAGGTTTTATAGGAGTTTATAATCCGAGCCCAAACATATTCACATCCGTATCCCTGACCTTTTGGGCGTGTTTTTTTGTACTCCATGATTAGATAAAAGGCATTAAATGACGCACACGGCTTTTGTTTTTGCAGTACTGCGCCACCTAAAACAAATGAATTATTCTGGATCTTTTCTTAAGGGTGCCAAAACAAAGGGAAACTACATACTAATGCACACCCCACTTTGTATTGCAAATGAATATTATTAAAACTGCTTCCCTCCTCTTTCTACTTATGCATTTGTTCTAGTCTATCAAATAAAATCTTAACAAAATATTGAGTTTTGTGGCAGTAATGTGACAAAATAAGGTATCATTCTAGGGGTATAAATGCTTTACAAGGCAGTGTCTTTCTAACAAATGGGTAACAAACAGGTGTGGCTGTAAATGATGATTAATACAAGTATAAAGACATTGAGATAAAGCTAAATGTTTAAGTTGGGTTGTGTAAAAAAACTATATTTCTATTTGGCTTAGAAATATGCTGCATAATATGAACATAGCTCAGATAAAGCTACTTTATCTGCATCTCTGTGGAGATGCAGCAAAAAATACCAACTCTGGATAATAAGCTTCCACCACTAAACCATTATTTCAGCTTTTAGTGTTCATCTCTTTTATTTTTTAATCAGATCCTTTTCAAGAAAAAATAATCAAGTTCGGGCTTCTAATTTTTATTGTGGTGTCTTTTCTCACTTGTTTCTTTCTGCTTGTTGTCAGCTTCTTTGGTTACAGAAAACCAGAAAGTGTTCATCTCGATAACAGTTTGAAATAATTTGCATTTAAAGGATTTCAAAATATTGTTTTAGCATATATATGAGACTGATAAAGGTTTCAGAAGGCCAATGCCAGTACCAATTATTTTGACACCGGACTAGATAATGATAATCAATATTAATATATGTAATGAAAGACATGATCAGTACTGATATGAAATGTCAAATGAAATTTTAATAGTATAAGGATTTTGCCTCTGACAGTCTAACTAAGCATGGATGGCATTAGGGATGACTTTTTGTTTAAAGGTTATGTTTAATTGTTCAATCTCTTTTTTTTTTTTTTTTTTTTTTTGTAATACTTTGATTTCCATAGGATAAAAAAAAGTGTATTAATATTTATTGATACAGTAATAAATCTAAAAATGCATTTATATAGCCAAAGATGTATAAATACAAACTAAATTTCTTTTTCAAAAACGGCTCAGCCTATTGTACTAATAGGGCTGTGTTTGTGACCCAGTTTCATTCAAGTACATAACGTAATAGGATGGCATACTTTTGTGTAAAGTCACTCTGATGCTGGGTTAGTTTTCACATGCTGAACAATCTGCTGCTAATTCCTGGAATGGAATTAACACCTCTTCCAAGTTTTCCAAGAATTTGTTGTTGGTGATGCAGAATTGCTAAATTTATGTAGATGCAAAATCAGATTAAAGGAAAACAAAACAAAACAAAACTGATAAAGAAGGGAGATAACTTTGTAAAACACCTAATCCAAGGAAATGATTCACCAGCTGATTCAAAAGTTAAGTTTTAAAACCATAACACGGAGGGTTTATTGTTTGGACATGCTGGTTAAATTTCAACCACAAGGACATTTATTGATGAATTATAGAGCAGCTAGAATGACCCACAGATGAAGTTCGGCCAATGCAGAAGTTCAACATTTTGGATTAATCATAGGCCAAAGTTTAGGAAATACCCCAATCTAAAAATAGAAATGCAATGATTAGACATTTCCTTCTTTATGACGATTTTAAGTTGTTTTTCTAAGGACTCTAGCATATAAATAAATAAATAGGTGAATTTGGTTTTAATCCAATCATTAGATGCAGACCATAAATTAAACTTTTAACAACATGCTCTTTGTTAATCCATTTATAAACTGTTTTTATGTATTTATTGAATAGGCTAAGGGGGTAAAAAGTCACATAGTTTATTATTTTACTTTTCTTTCACTTATAAATGGATCATTTTGTTGGAAGAATCTAAATGTCTTAAGAAAATGTTTCTTAAAGGTTTAGTCTATTTTCTTATACTAAGAATGACGATTGATTTCACCCAGTTTGGTAATTAAGTTGAATATTTAATGCCAACATTGATTAAAAAATCTTTTTAAAATGCCTTATTCATGTTTTTATACTTAAAGCTGATTGCTTAAGTTTTTATACGTACATGTTTTTGTTTAGAAATAAAGTAACCCTAATCTTCTCTCCTTTTGTCTCATGTTTTTAGGGCATACTCCCTAGTTGACTCCAGTCAGGTGTCCACCTTCCTGATCTCCATCCTTCTTATCGTCTATGGCAGCTTCAGGTGAGTCATTTAAATAATTAATTTAAGCACTTCTACCATTAGTTGACATCTTTCTTTTGTTATTTTTTTCTTTTTCTCTCTTAAATAATGGCAATAATCTAATTATTGTTTAACTTATCCAAGTCCTCTGTAATCTTCTTAAGCAGACAGCTTTATATCAGCCTGAACTACAGCTGAATTAGATAAAGTTTTTCTTAGATTACTTTAAAAAAAAAACTGTCCTTGAGAGGAAGCATTCCTACCTTCAACCAAACACTTAACTAGTCATAGCAAGATAACCAAGTGATACTGCCAAGCATCTGCTTTTTGAATTTGCAGCAAAATACAACAATAAGAAAGGTGAAAACTCTGTTTAAAATAAAAAATATATATTAATAATAACAGAAATATTAAAGGGGGTGATCGCAAAATTACTGGTATTTTTCCCACTTTAATTATGTGTATCAATAATGAATCCATTAAGAAGTAACCAACATTTTCCTCTGTCGTTTCTTTCATTTTCGGTCATCACAATTTGATCATGGTCATCTACGTTATTTGCACGGCTAACAGAAAGTTGAAGACCATTTCAGTGGCCGATTTTTTAATTGAAAAGATTAGTTCCATTGCAAAATGCTTGAAATTCAATAACCTTCCAAATATTGTGTCTAAGCAGCCTTTGCAATTGTGATATAGCACATGTTTGTTCCTCCAATGACGGGAACAGCTATTTTCTGCAGCTCTAATATATTTAATATATTATATATATAGAATCAGGCTAAAATCTTTTTTTAATTTGCAGCATGTCTTATTGCTAATTTCCAGACCTTATCTGGCCACCTTTGTCAGTTTCTCTTTGGTTCTGTTTAGCACATTTAATTATATTGGTAATATTATGATTTCAGTATATACAATATATAAGCTTGTAAACAGAATTTGATCTAATTAAATGTATGTTATAAAAGTGATAGTTCAGGAGAAATTGATTCCTTTCCTGTTAAATCTCCTATTGTCTCTGAAATTAGCCTGTCCAGTTTCTTTTTCAGTTTGGTCAATTTTTTAACATCCTATATTAACTTTATATTCAGGCTTTTTGATTTCAATTAGCAGAACATGTAAGAGTGGAGCTTTGTCTTTATCATTCTTGAATGTCTTCTTTAATATGTTTTTGCTTCGTGCAAAATAGTGCAAACTTTACATTAAATAAATTAGACTATCTACCTAATATGATTATTGTTTTCATGAAAATTAGTTGTTAATAGTGATCAGTTTAATGGTGGTGCAAAGCGGCCATCGTAAAGATTAGCTGAAGTAATAAAGCTTTTGTAATGATAATCTAGAAGTCCACCTTTCTTGTAAAATGTGTTTCTGGGTACTATATATTATAATAAATGTGAGAGTTACATTAGGATTTTAAGTTCAACCATTGAACATTAATTTATTTGACATCTTTTCACTGTAAATTTTAGATTTTTTCTATATTACTTACTGCTTCCTTTTGGCAGCCTAAATGAATTCAACTCTGAGGGCACGTCTTCAGAGGAAGTTAGACTTTTCGTTTTTAGGAGAAATGAAGTGTGATTTTTCTACATAACTCTGTTTTCTGCTGCTTTTGCAGGTCATTAAACATGGATTGTGAGAACCAGGAGAAGGATAAAGATGGCAACCCCACAGCAACGGGGTCTTTTAATAACAGCAACACAAACAACAGTAAGTGTTACAAATCAAACTCCATCAGTTGCTTGATGTGGCTGCTTTGATGTTATGAAGTTTGTGTTTTTATGACATGATTTGTTTTCCAGGCATTCAAACTATAGACTCCACACAGGCCCTGTTTCTGCCAATAGGAGCGTCGGTGTCCCTACTAGTCATGTTCTTCTTTTTCGACTCGGTTCAGGTGGTCTTCACTATCTGCACTGCAGGTAACTATGCGGCTCCGGAGTGCAAAAAAGCACCACACATGTAGAGTCATTATAAGGTTTTCCCGCCGCTGTTCGGTGGTTACACCCAGGAGAATGTCTTGAAACCGAATACCATTAGTTGCCCCATTTAACTCACAGAAATGACTCCTACAAGCTGTCAAGGTATATTAGACTGAAGTTCTCACTGCTGTGCTTTTCTTCCTTTCCTCAGTTCTTGCTACAATTGCATTTGCATTCCTGTTGTTACCTATGTGCCAGTATCTGACCAGACCCTGCTCCCCGCAGAACAAGTAAGGAAGTTCTGGCATTTTGCCTTTTCATATCTCTTCCTTTCTGTTTTTTACATCTTCCAAACATTCAGAACGCTCCATGAATCGGCCTATTACAGTACCCTTAACAAGTCAGCTTTACAATATAAACATTGGAATCTTTGGTGCTTTATGTCTCTAAATATTAAAGGACAGCCTAAATATCTTTGTTGATTTAAAAAAAATTTGTAATCAACCAGATTTTTTTTTTTGCCCCACCAAAATGCTTCTCTAAAAATACTTCCCATGTCTGTAAAAAAAGAAAAAAAAAAAAAGAAAGACAAAATCATGCTTCGACATGATTAGCTAAACCACATTGAATATATGTGATGTTTAGTCATCCTTGTAACCAAAATGAAACGCCTTTAATTAAGATTTTTCTGATTCGGCTTTACATGTCACACCTGGGCGATGTTGCTGCTCAAACTGTGACATCAAAAAAATATTTGATTTGAACCTGTTTGACAAAAAGGGATTTATGCATAAAAAAAAAAAAAAGTAAAAAAAAAAACACATTATGCCCTGATTTAAAAAATTAAATCAAGAGCAAATAAAACATAGTCTTTGGCCTCTCATTGTGGAAAAGTTTTTTTTTTTAATTCTAAGGTTCCGGGTCTCCAATAAACCTTTTATGGAGCTGTTGTCTACGATTCCTCAGAAAAGAAGTTCAGAAAAGAACTCAGAACAACATAATGAGTACTGGAGGCCTCACTTACATAAAATAAGGTGAAAATCAATCATTTAATATTCTGAAAGACAGAGGAAATTTGTATTTATAGATAAATTTTAAGCTAAACACCACTACTGACAAAGTACCTCACAAAAGCATATAACACAACATTTAAAAAAAAATCACCTATATAATCCCAAAACGACCTCAAAAATAAATGTATTAAAGAGATGAAAAAGAAAGTACATGTTGCAACTAACAGTCATTAATACTTCAGCTGTTGATTGGACAACGAAGGCTGCTCTGTCACTATGTGTAAGTCATATATCAAAGTGACATAAACAACAAATAATTTGACTGAACTTGAAACAAGGTAACCTGTTGTGACTGTATGTATTCAAACCATTCTGCAAAGAGGGGACAAAAAAAAGCTCCTCCACACCGATGCAAAACATGCTTAAGCAAACACTGGATGTTGGCTGTTATTGTCCTAAGAGACACAATCGCTTATTAGGTTTATAATAAGTTTGAATAGGTCTTCCTAATGCTTAAAGTCACCATTAAAAACTGCTTATTAACTAATGTTATCATTGTTTGTTTGATGATACTAAACATTTAAGTTTGGCAGAAAACAAAAAGTTGTAAAGTGACGGATCCTTTCTAGAGCATTGGTTTTTTTTCTGTTTTAATTTCTTGCACTATAAAAGCTATTCTTTTTGTTTTACTTCTTGTTTTTTATGCTAAAAATATTCAAATTAGGAATTGAATCTTCTTTAGCATGCCACATGTTTTTCTCTCCTTTCCACAAGCCTTGTTTCTCTTCATAAAATGTAAAATTCTTGTTCTTGTGCATTTTCTCTGATTGAGATTTTTCTTTTTTTAACTTTCTTTGCTTTGCAGGATTTCATTTGGTTGCTGTGGACGCTTCACCTTGGCCGAGCTGTTGTCGTTCTCTCTTTCCGTCATGTTGGTCCTCATCTGGGTGCTGACTGGACACTGGCTCCTCATGGACGGTGCGTCACTCTGTGGCAGCTCACGTGACAAAGTGTTCCCTTTCATGGGAACGTCGACAGATGTCACACACATTTCAAGATTTCATTTAGCAGCTTTAACATCTGAACCAACGCATTAGACTCATTCCTCAGTTTTTATACAAATTAATCACATTCCTTCTCATATTTTATCCCTCAGTCTTAGCACAGACTTGTCTTTTAATATCAAAAATATATATATTTTTTAGGAATTTCATAGCTGTTAGTGGTGACTTCATGCTTAATACATTGCATGACAAATCCAGTTTTCATCATCTGCTGAAGGAACTTGACCCAACTCACACTAAGAAGGTTTTACATTGTTATTTTCCAAGCTTTTACAGCAGTGCACTCAATTCTTAAAGGGGCTTTGATAGTCAGCTAAATTGCAACTCCTTCCATCATGCAGTGGATAAAAAAAAACGACATGTACCTCTGTATTCACATAGTTGCTCAGTCAATTTTGGTGGCAGTTTTAAGTGATAATGCAGGTCTAGAAAACTCAAAGGCTCTACTTTATCAAGCCTCCAGAATATGCATCATATCCATTTCATGTTCAAGTATTAAGTTCAATTTTAAAAGTAGCTTCTTTGAATATCTGTTCTTTAGTGAAACCTCATAGATTATGTTTTTGTTTTTTTGTTTTTTCTTGGATAAATGAAATATATGGAATCTGTTCTAATCCCGATATGTGTGCTGGTTGTTACCAAAATGTGGAAATAAGTTTTTAAATGTCCAATTTTCTCTGCCTTGTTGCAGCTTTAGCCATGGGCTTGTGCGTCGCCATGATCGCCTTTGTTCGACTTCCCAGTCTGAAGGTGTCTTGCCTGCTGCTGTCAGGACTGCTCATTTATGATGTTTTCTGGGTAAGAAGTGATCTCCATCAACTTAACCTGCATCACTAAAAAGATGCACAGCCATTAGGGATGTCAATTCCAGCGGTGTTTTCAAAAAACGAAAGCATCAATAGGCTGTCTATTCTGAGGTACTTGCTGCTATTCTGTTAATGCAATCATCCTCAGTAAGTTTAAAGATCAGTTAGTCAGTCCTCTAAGGAGGAATTGCAAACCATTTTTATATTATATGGACAGTTTAGAGGTAAACCTAAACTTTTCTACCCGGCTAAGAAGATAAAGTAATATGGCTGATATTACAGTCTAGCTATTAAAGGGGTCATAGAATGATTCTATAGGGTATTTGGTGCTGAATAGGGAGGGTAACATTGATTTGGCTGAAAATGGCATATTTGCTGTTCTATGAGCCCTAATGCAAGTCTGGCTAAGAGCCCCAAAATGAAACGACAAGTTTTCTTTCTTTTATGGTATGCTCATGAATATTTAGATGAGCTGTGTGCTGATTGGTTGGTTAACAACAAGCAAAGCTGCTGAGCAAAGATACATCATAGCAACAAGCACTAACTCACTCTGAAAAATTTAATAGTTGATATGGTAGGTTGACTAGACGTCCTCTTTTTTCCCGTACATGTCCTACTTGTCATACCTAAAAAATGCGATGGGGAATTTCAAAAATCGTCCTGGATTTTTGTCGATTACAGTGCAACAGAATCGAGACATTAGCTCCGGGGCTGTTCGGGAACTCCGGCGGATGGAGGGCTGGATCCAGCAGGGGACCGGGCGACCGAATCCGACCCTGTGATTGTAGCCGCAGCCCTGTGCTTCCCCCCGCCTGTGTTACTGCGCAGGCAGGACCGTCACTGGGTCGGGTTCGGTCGCTGGCTCCGGACACGGACCAGTCAGCCCCGCCCGCACACACACCCCCAAAAAAAAGTCTCCTCCTTTTCAGAAACCCTAATCTGGTCACCCTAGATATGATAGCATTGTTATCATATCTATTCATATTCTTGTGCCAGTGAACCAGTGGGCTGGTCTGTATATCATTTCGGGGCGTGACAAAAGTACAGGCCAGAACTGAATTAGGAAAAATCCCCGAATTGAAATCAATTCGGTGCTTCGTCCGAATTCGCCCGTTTTATGTTGGAAGTCGTTTGTGAGACTTGCAGAGAAAGGAGGTGTGGATGAGGTTTGAACTTTAGTTTTACATAAAATAATTTCTGATCTTTTTATTGTTTGAGGTAATATAAGCTTAAAAAAAATAATTATTTATGTTTAATTAGCATTTCTTAATGTCTATACAGAGAATAAAATGTTACACAGAGAATCATACATTGATTTTTTTATTACCATTGAATTGAAAATGTAATTTAAGAAACTCTGGTTGCATGATAACTAAAATAAACTTTTATGTTTTAAATGAAGCAATCCTCTTTTTGAGTGACATGTTTTGGTTCGTGGAACAGAACAATATATTCTAGAATAGTTGGTATAATTATACATCAGTGCAATGCTCTAAAAAGAAACCAAACATAACTTTTTATTTTGTCATTTTATGTGTTGAATTAGTTTTTAAAGCAGCAGAGATCATCTGGGTCTCATTCATAAGAGCCCATTTTCCCTCACAGGGGATTAAAACATCAACTCAGTCATTAGGAGTGAATAGCTGGGATTATTACTCCTTTGTGGGTAATAATTTCTCTTAAAAAGTAATCGTAGCATCCTTTAATATGGCTTCTGCCCAACTAAAACTGTTGATCCTTCATCACTGATGGTGGAAAACATTAATTTTTTTCATACCCAATGCAGTTAAAGGGATAAATGGAAAATAATTTTTGATTCTTGGAAATGTGATGGATAGAATTTCAGCACAACTAACGGCTGTTTTTCTCTTGTTTTTTTTTCCCTGAAGGTGTTCTTCTCAGCTTACATCTTTAACAGTAATGTGATGGTTAAGGTTGCCACTCAGCCTGCTGAAAATCCCATAGATGTTCTTTCCAGGAAGCTCCACCTGGGGCCAGGAATGGGCCGCGATGTTCCCCGACTCTCCTTACCTGGCAAACTGGTCTTCCCAAGGTAACACTCACATTACAGTGGTGCCGGAAAGTTTGGTAATGTTTATCAGAACCTGATATATTTAAGAACAAACGCATCATCAGATTTTCACAGAAATCTTAAAAGCAGATGGAGACTAACCACAACAACAAGTGAAACAAAAGATGTAGTTTTATTGCTATTGTTAAAATAATTTGGATGTTTTAAGGGTAAATTGTGGTTTAATCGCCATCTATGAATTAGGATTTCGTGTAACTCTGCTGATGCTTAATATTTAAAGAAATATCAACGATTCTGAAGGGTTAACAAACTTTCCAGCACCACTGTAATCAAGGGATTTGGTAAGATTCGTAGAATTGTTTGTTTTTCACAAAATTAGCCTTTTCTGGTCTTTGTGAGATTTTTTAGCTTAGTTAAATACTCTCAAAATTGTTGTGTTCATGCAATTATACCAAGTTCTCTGTTAAAAGGATCTAAAAATTTGATAGAAATGTTACTTATTTTACAGAGTAGCCCTCTGAAGCTATTCAGAGAATGGGGGGGGCCTTTTAGGGTAATCCTTCCACAGTATTATTTAGAACTGATCGCTTCGCATTCATGTCCGTAACATCAACACATTGTCTAGGTGTGAGTACTGATGGAGATACTATCATGACAGGACTTTCCGGTGCCCAAGCTTCACTTGCAACAAAGCCTTTCCACTCGCAGTGTACTGCTTCCTTCCCTGATCCTATTTGTTACTTAGCAGGGCAGCGAGATGCCTATTAGATGTGACAGTGGTCAACAGTGGTATTAGCCTCTGAACACAGCCCCTTCAGCCACCTCATACTACTTTAGATTTTGCTGTACTCGATATTAAGCTTCCCAGAGCATGTTTGGCTTTTAATCTATGTAAAAACCTGAATTTGAAGGTTATCAGTTGGCCCTTAGATTTTTAGCAATTACAAAGCGACTATCTGTTCCTCCTTTTTAGCTTTTTTTTTTTTTTTTTAGTAATGATGATGGATGCAGAACATATTTTAAACCACTTCACAGGAAAAACAGGTTTGATAAACTAAAAAAAGAAAACAAGCTAAACCAGAAGCTGAGAGATGTATCATCTTTCACCTGGTCTTGCCATGTTTTCTTGATTCCTGAATAGTTTTGGAAATTGTAAAGTTTTTTTAGGATTTTTACATTTCCAATGTTAAAAAAGTTAGACAACTTTAAAGTCTTACCTGAAATTTTTGCACAGAAAAAAAAGATAACCCTCCACTTCCAAATGGTGTTTTCTGGACCATATTATACGCTTGTTTATGCAGAGGATGCAAACATTTGACCTTTTTAAATCCCAGGATATTTGTAAAGCAAATAGTTAGCTGAGAACTCTTCTCCTTGGGGCTAAGACCTTTAAGTTAAGTCAGTATTGAAATGTAATACATTCATTTTAGTTGGAGAACAAGATGATGAAGCACTGATGTGTACATTAGCATTAACTGCACTGCTGAGCCACACTGATTCTCTAGTCTGTCTGCTCTAGTGTTTCATCCTCATTTCCGCTCTTTTCCTCCATGCAGCTCCACAGGAAGCCATTTCTCAATGTTGGGAATAGGAGACATCGTGATGCCAGGGCTGCTGTTGTGCTTTGTCCTGCGTTATGATAACTACAAGAAGCAAGCAACAGGGGAGGTCCCGGGGCCTGGCAACATGTCCGGACGCATGCAGCGCGTCTCATATTTCCACTGTACTCTCATCGGATACTTTGTGGGTAAGAAGCCAATCAATGGGCTGTTGGATGTAGAAGGTCAAGGTTTTTAAAGGTCTTCTTATATTTGTCTTGCCAAATTAGGTTAAACAATAAGGATTATTATGTCTTATTTGCCACAGTCAGAAGGTTAACAAACCATCGTGTGACTGTAGCATCTGAACTCCACTCAACCAAGGCCTGCAACGGTTTTGCCTTTTTCTCTCCTGAAAAAGCCTAAATGTTTAGAGACAGTCTGTCCATCCATATCAAGTCCTGTACCAAAGTTGTCTCCATCAAGGGAAGATCTTGACAAAATTCCCAATTTCTCTGAATAAAACATAAAGAGCTTCAAAGCAATCTTACACAAACTAAGCTCTAGCTCCAGTCATCTCAAAGTTTTACCTGTGCCTCTGCCTGTCATAAAGCCTGATTTTAATTCAAATAATTCATACATCCCTTTTGTCAGGTGTTTTTTTTTTTCCCCAGCTCCTAAAAATAGCTATTTTCGAACCATTTTTGAAAAAGAGTAACTTGGACAAGCTGTTTTTGCAGAACTACAAGCGCATCTCAAACCTCTTATTAATCAGTAAGATTATTTTAAAAAGTTGTGTTTTAGGCGTTAAACACCTAACAATAACCAGCCATTTCCCTGCCTTCCAGAGAGGCGCCTGGAAAACTGGGCCAGCCTTTCTGATACAGTCCTCAACCGGTTTATATATTACTTAAGGACAGTGACCGCTTTATGTCAGTTGGTAAATTTTACATCAAAGACCATGAAAAATACCCCTTTTCAGTACCTACAATCTCCCCCCAACTAAGACTATAATAAATATAAAAACTTGGACCATATTTTGAAGTCGTGAGTCAAGTGACTGCACTGGGTAAATGCATAGAAGAAAGCAATGTGTTGAATCAAAAAAAAAAAGCTGAAGTAATATTTTTCACACCAAGAAAGATTATTTAAAAGTTAGCGTTCAGCTGCAGTTTATACAGCTAAAAACCACCAGTCAGGTTAGAAATCTGGGTGTAATTAAGGACTCAGACCTGAACCTTTAAAGGCCCATAAAGACAGAAACAAAGTTGGCCTTCTATCACCTAAAGAGCATCTCCAGGATTAAAGGATCAGTGTCTCAGCAGTACTTTTAAAATTAGTGGAATTGATTATTGCAACAATGTCAGTTATGCTACTGACAGAGTCCTCACTAAAATGGAAAGTGAAACACATCATCCCTATTCTAAAGTCCTTCCACTGGCTCCCCATATCAGAGAATAGACTTACTTCTGTTAGTCTATAAATTACTGAATGGCTTTGCTCCAAAATATATTAGACTTGCTGTTAGTTTGTAAACAACTTACACCTCTCAGGTGTTCTGGTTCTATTCTACTCGGGACCAGAACCCAACATGGAGAAGAAGCTTTTAGTTGTAATGCTCCACTATTCTAGAATGAACTCCCGGAAAACTGTAAAAGAAATAAAACCCCTAGTTGCTTTAAATTGAGATAAAAAAAAATGTATTTGTTTAGAGTGGCCTTTGACCGAGTTATCTAATCATTAGTTTCAAGATTTGTTTCAGTTTCCTAATAGTCTTCGCTTTGATTTATTTATCAATGGCTTTATCTCTTTTTTTATTTATTAATCATTTTATCTTCTTTATGAAATCCTCTTATTTTAGTCTAACAATTTTATTCTCATGAACCTTGTGCTGCCTCTGTGCCACTGCACTGTGCTTTGTTTTTATAAACTTGCTGTGTATTGCTATGTTTATTCTTGGTATTCTTTATTTATTTGAGAACATTTTGTCTCTCCTCAGGTCTGCTGACTGCCACTGTGGCCTCGAGGATCCATCGTGCCGCTCAGCCCGCTCTGCTCTACTTGGTTCCCTTCACCCTGCTGCCTCTGCTCACTATGGCTTACCTAAAGGTACATGAACAGGTTTATGTTTTATCCATAGAGGAAAAGTTAGCAGGGATCTAGAAGAGAAACATTTGCTTCTTGATTTTGCTTAAAAGGAAATTAAATCTGTGAAGTCATATCTATTTAGATAACTCTGTTATATTGACCAATTTATTCTACCCTGTAAATATTGTAATATGTAATATCACTGTTATTTTTTACCACAACACAACTTCAATGCATTTATTTACATAATTTTGTTTTTGCCAGAAAGTTAGTAAACACCCCCCACCCCCCCTGGTTAAACATGGTGGTGGCAGTATTATGCTATGGGGAGGCTTTTCTTCAGAGGCTGTATTTAAGTTGGTCATGATGCAGAAAAATGGAGAAAAACAGAAAAGGACTTGAGGCTTGGGGCTCACCTAACCGCCAGAGCTCCAGTGGGATGTTTAGATCAGTAAATATTTATTTTACCATGACCAACAAACCAATTTCACATTTCTCAGACTTGAGAATTGTTTTTAAGTCTTTAAACTGAAGTTTGTGGAACTGAAATGAAAAAAGTGAAAAAGTTCAAATACTTCTTCAGGGACGAGTATCAAATAAATCGGGATAAGACAGGTAGCAGATTGACTCCCTATCTTGATGTGTCTTTTTTTGGGGGGGTGATAATCTCTTGCAGGGGGATTTGCGGCGAATGTGGTCCGAGCCTTTCCATGCCAAGGCCAGCAGCTCTCGCTTCCTGGAGGTATGATGCAACCTGGGGACGAGCAACCAGCGCGGGGACGACTGCTGATCTTTTCCTCTTTATTAGAGGAAAGGAGAGAGGGCACACTGACCATGAGGCCATGTTGTCATCACTTCATGCTTTCCACCAATCAGTGAAGAAAAAAAAAATCTCTCAGAAAGGACACCAGAGTGTGGATCACAACACCCAGACACGAATCATCTTTGCCCCCCTACGTCCTTTTCCCGTTTTATCTCCGGTTCCTCTTTGCCGTTTCTTTCCTGTCCCTTACAGGACATCCTGCCTATTCTGTTTTTGTGCTTCCCTCCTCTTTGTCTCCTTTTTTTTCCTCTCTCCCACTGCCCCTCCTTCTGCACGGCCCATCTCATATTTTCCACCTCCCCTCTCTTCTGTCTTTTTGTTATTCTTTCTGGATTCCTTTCTCTCTGATGAACTAAATGGACCACCCCTCACCCCACCTCAGTTTTTTGTGGACTTACGGTTGTGAGACATGGCTGGGATTTATATGTATTTTTTTAGCATTGTCGTGGTCATTATAATTAATGTTAATATAATCAAAGAACTTTAACAAGCGAAGAAGAGTTGGAGTGTTGCAGTGGCACAAGAACAGCAACACAGTTCCGAGTTCTCCCTCTTCTTCAGGCTGCCTGTTTCATCTTCTCCTCCCTGATGACTCCCCCTGGTGCTCCTGCCCTCTTACTACACCCCCTGTGCGTCCCCATCCCACCCCTCCCGCTCCATCTTCTGTTCATCTGCTGTCCTTACCCCAACAGATAACTATGTATTTTATTTAGAAAAGTTTTATTCTTTGCATATACAGAAAGGATGCATTAAAATTGTTAAGCCACCTCCCCGCCACCAGCATTGGGAGTCGAAGGGGGTTGCTTTTATTTGTATATATGTGTACACATGTATTTGCAGTATCATGAGTTTCTATTTGTGTTTGAGAGCATGTTGAAAAAGAGCGGTAAACTGTTGTCCAGCAGCAGCCTGATTTATACTCTGATGAATTGTGGATCCAGCTTTGTGCAATAGAAACATCATGGAAAAAAAATTTAAATTTAGACGACAGTTTCCCGCTCTTATCTTAAAATGTGAGTGCGTGCGTGAGTGAGTGCTGAACAGATGAGCAAGCGGTTATTTTACTCGGTTTTAATTTGAAATCATGTTTAAAATGACGACAGTAGTCAGGTTTGCATTGAGCTGTGTGTTGGATCAAAGGGTTTCAAGCACATGAAACACATGTAAATGGTTTATCTTGTAAAAACAGGAAAAAAAAAATATGTAAGAAAAAAATGTAGAAACTCCACAGAGGTCATTTTTCTTTTCAGTTTTCTGCAGACAGGCAGAATTGTAAACAGTGTTTTTGTTTTGTTTTTTTTCTTCCAAATAAATGAATGTTAAGTAAGTTTCCCAGTCTATTTTACTCTGACTCATACATCACTCTGCAATGCTGACAGTTTTTACACATCTCTCACCGCCTCACCTCAGTTTCACCTCAGTCGATGAAGATCTCACTCTTAAATTTAAAACTCTTAAGTTTTTAATGTGAAGATGGATGGATTTAGAAGATGGGCAGTGGATGGATGGACGCTGGAATCCAGATAGTTATTTTAGTAATAGATAAAGGATTGATTAAAACACGTGTTCAGAACTTTGGAAGAGAGCTATGAATGCTTAATGTCCTTCAGAGATCAAACATAATTGGCCCTGGTTGTTTTTAGAAATAATATAAATGAATAGTTATGATGCAGTAGCCACCATGATTTGCACATGGTTTTGAGTGAAACATTTAATTTGCTATAGGATTGAACATTTTCGAAATTAACCTTTAAATTGAGAAGATAGTTCGTCTATTGTGAGGTTTCATTGTGTCAACATTTTCTGGATTCCTGATTCCTCTCTGTTACTAATGGGATTTAAACATGGAAGTACTGGCGATCATGAAAAAGGGCATTTTTTGTTTTGTTTTTTGTTAATGATGCAGTGCTCTTTAACAAGCTTCCCAGGACCTTTAGTAAACAAACTGCATCACAAATGCATCACTATTTGTTACTGAGCATGGGATATATTCGGAATATTTACCATTAGGTTCACCCTAAGCTCATCTGTTATTAGAATGCCTAAAATTAGTTGCATTTGATTAGTTTGCAAAACTCCACTTTGAGTTTATGCTTTAAATATTTATAGTTGTGATGACAGACATGGCTTTTATTTATTTTTTTATCAAATAACCAGCTGACATATAAAGAGTCTCTAATTGTTGCTATGGAGATCCTAAGATGCTCCCTTTAGCTTCATCTCTCCCTCAGCAGGCATTTGAGATTTAATTTCTCTTCCATGACAACAAAAAAAAAGCTGTGTGACATCATATGACCCCTGGAAGCCAATTACTTAAACTTACTGATTAACAAAAAAGAAAAGTTTGATTTAAAAAAAAAAAATCTTTGAAAATGGATTGTTACAGGGTTTCTATTGTGTCATCAGAAATAAAAAAATAAAAAACGGAATTTCTTTCCTGCTATTTTAACGTCATCAAATTGAAGGATTTTATTTTCTGTTGTGATCTAATGCTACTTCAATTTTAAAAAATGGTTAAGTTGAAGCTTTTCATACCTGTCTTGCCAAAAATGTGGTTAGCTCTGTGTGGACAAAGTGCTTTTCATTTGTTGTTTCCATTCTGCTATCTGTCTGCATGTTAGGGGAACAGATGTACAGCATATTATTATCCCGGATGAGGGCGTCCATATAGATTTGAGGCTCTGGACTGAACTTTTGGACTTTCATGCATGGACTAACTGTTGCAACAGGTGGGAAAGACCTCTTACTGATCAGCCTGGACTTCTAACCTGTAAAGGCTGAAGATTGAAGTTTTGGGCACGCAAAAAGCCTCACCACTTATGGACATGGGAAGAGAATATATAGATTTATATGCATATATACTAATGTTTGTCTATGTGTGTGAGTAAAACCAAATAATCATGTTGATAATGTTTTTATAGAGGATTTTTGTAGCCCCTGGTTTGTAATTGTTTTCCCTCAGAGTTTCCCCTTCCAGCATAGGACTTCATCTCCAGTTTATGCTGGTTTTAAGAAGGAGTGGATTCTGTATAGAAGAAAGATGAAAAATTAAGAACTATAATGTTCCATGAAATCTCGCATATCCTCCTACTTGTTCAGGATTCTGTTGTAAATAAACTTGACACAATAACAGTAAAATATCTCTTTTGTTGAGTTTATTAAAGACATTTTCAAACTACTGAGGTTGACTCTAATTTCCCTGTGGAGATTTTGCAGCTCTTCCAATATAAAAACTATTGCTTTTGTTCAAGACCTTTCAACAAGTTATTTAACCCCAACTGGTGCAATGATTTGCTTCTCATTTCCTAAACAACCATGTTGAAAGACATATCCTGCAGTCGTGGAAAAGATGTTAGTCTGTTTGAGAAGGGTCAAATCATTGGCATGCATCAAGCAGAGAAAACATCTTAAGAGATTGCAGATACTACTAAAATTGGGTTAAGAACTGTCCAACGCATTATTAAAAACTGGAAGAATAATGGGGACCCATCAGCTTCAAGGAAGAAATGTGGCCGGGAAAAATCCTGAATGATCGTGATCGGCGATCACTTAAACGTGTGGTGAGATCAAATCGAAGAAAAACAACAGTAGAATTCAGGGCTATGTTTAATACTGAAAGTAAGAGCATTTCCACACGCACAATGCGAAGGGAACTCAAGGGATTGTGACTGAACAGCTGTGTAGCCATAAGAAAACCACTAATCAGTGAGGCTAACCGGAAAAAAAGGCTTCAGTTTACTAGGGAGCATAAAGATTGGACTGTGGAGCAATGGAAGAAGGTCATGTGGTCTGAGTCCAGATTTACCCTGTTCCAGAGTGATGGGCGAATCAGGGTAAGAAGAGAGGCAGGTGAAGTGATGCACCAACCATGCCTAGTGCCTACTGTACAAGCCTGTGGGGGCGGTGTTATGATCTGGGGTTGCTGCAGTTGGTCAGGTCTAGGTTCAGCAACAGTATGTGCTCAAAGAATGAGGTCAACTGACTACCTGAATATACTGAATGACCAGGTTATTCCATCAATGGACTTTTTCTTCCCTGATGGCACAGGCATATTCCAAGATGACAATGCCAGGATTCATCGGGCTCAAATTGTGAAAGACTGGTTCAGGGAGCATGACACATCATTTTCACACATGGATTGGCCACCACAGAGACCAGACCTCAAACCCGTTGAGAATCTTTGGGATGTGCTAGAGAGGGCTTTGCGCAGCGGTCAGACTCTACCATCATCAATGCAAGATCTTGGTGAAAAATTAATGCAACACTGGATGGAAATAAATCTTTTGACATTGCAGAAGCTTATCGAAACAATGCCGCAGCGGTCCAAAAAAGTATTAGAGTGAGTGACCTTTTTGTTTGGTGGCGACTTTTTTTTTTGGCCAGGCAGTGTAATCGCAAAACGTCATAGACAAATTAGACAAATTAGAGCACATTAATGTGAATTTTTAAATGTTGTTAAATGTATTAACCCATTCAGTACTTTGTGAAACCACCTGTTGTTTTATTTGGAACTACCAGCCATTTCGGTTACCCCTCTATCAGCTTTTTAATTGTAGGGACTTACTGTAATATTTTTTTAAATTGTTCAGTGCAAAATAGTTAAAGACGAATCCTATTAGGGCTGGGCAATTAACTGCATTTGTAATAAAATCTGAATTTTACAAAACGCCATTTTCTAAACAGCAGAAGGACAACATTGTGGTTACATTACATATAACAAGCGTAAGACTCTGACATCACTCTAGCCCTAGTTGGAGTTAATACACTTAAAGTGTGTGGGTATGGGTGTATGTGGGACGGGTTGGGTTGGGGCTATGGGTAAGGGTTGATGCTTAAATTGTAACTTCAAAATGTGAAAGAAAAAAAAAGTATCTAAAAATGTGGGTTTGCTGGCATGCAGAAATGAAGATATACCTGTTGCTAGCACACAGCTCTATGCATGCGAACTAGAAGTAGGCACTGTTTCCCACAACAGTCACAGTAAAGCCTTGTTCTAATGTGCTCTGCAAAAGCAAGCTTTCGAGGTCATGAAAACAATGAAACATTGAATGGAAATATCTGCATGCTTGTGCTTGTTGCAAAGAAAAATCCAAATAATACAACAGCAATTTGAAATTTGTGTATAATTCTGCAAATAGATTAAAAGAAAAACTTTGCAGCAACCAAGTTTAGTTCCTTCTATACTCTGATCAACTCCAAGCAGTGTCCTCGTCCCTGTTGGAGAAAAGTATGTATGCAGCATGATGCTGCCATTACCATGCTTCCCAGTTGTGATGGTATGTTCAAGGAGATGTACATTTATATTTATTTCATCACACTTTGGTTTTTGCTTATAGGCCAAAAATATCTGTTTTGATCTCACTTCTTTAGATCACCTTCTTTAACTTTTTTTTTTTGCAGTACCCTCTAAATGGTTTGGAGCAAACTTCTCAACATGGATCCTAATGGCTTTCCTCCTACTGCTTTTCTATGAAGACCAAATTGGTAGAGTGCATAACTCTAAACTTTTCCATCAACTGTTTTTTCCATCCGACCTGAAACTCTGAAACTCATTCAGGCTTACTGTGGGTCATTTTCCTGCTTCTGTCAATATAGCTTTTTTTCCCAACTATTAGTTCAGGTGGATGACCGTATATGTCATTAATCAGTTTGTTTCCAAAATTGGGATGTATATCTGTAACCAACAACTTATTTGAGCCCCCCTCATTACAACCCTGATCTGACCATAGTGAAACATCTGTAATTATACTGAGACTATAACAGACAGCTGTTTAGCCTGCTTGAAAAGCAGACTAAGCAGGCTAATCAGAAACATATGCCACACTCCGAAACATGAAACACATTTACACATTTATGTTTGAGGTTATAAGACTAAATATGTTCAAAGAAAGAAAGAGTTTTAAAAAACACATCTTGACTTCAACGTGCATGCTTACAGCTAATATTTCTAAGAAGCAATCACTGTCTTGCTGACCCTGTATGTCGAATAAGTGTTGGATGGTTTGAGCTTGTTTGTCTGCAATTAAGTTTGAAACAGCAAATGCAAACTCCAGATCAGAGCTGAAACTTTTTATTGTGGATCAAACAGCTGCTCAAATTATAGTTTATATTCACTATATAATCACTAAAGTACATTTCAATTTTATATTTGAAATAATGTCCAGATAAATTTTTACATGCATCCATATCAGGTAATATTACTAATAATCCAGTCTCCTTTGGACTTAAAAAAAAAACAATTCAGGGCCCTACACTGCTGGTCAAGATGCATAAAAATCTAAATACATAAAAAAAAAACTCTAAGAGATAAACAGAGCAGACGAGATTAAATGAAACCCTATAATTATGCTGCTACAACTATAGCATAAAAATCTCACCATAGTCGATGCGCCTCAGTAGTTGCAGTTCCAATTTCTACCAGCAGATGACAGTAAATCCTAAATATGTAAAAAACGCAAAATAAAAAAAAACATATTTGATATTTTCATATAAGACGTTTCTGCTCAATTTTTCTTTCCGACTGTCATATATGAGCATTTCTATGCATTTAACGCTAACATGCACCCAAAAACAAAGGAATTAAACAGCTTTTAATGAATTCCATGTAAGGTGAGCATAATGCAAAAGCAGGGGGAGTGAGAGAAAGGAAACCAGCCCAGGAGCAGTTTAACTGAAAGGTAATTGGTTCCTGCAGGGTACACATATACACACACACACACACACACACACACACACACACACATATATATATAATAACAATGTGCCCTAGCCCTCTGGTTCTGTGTTCAGCATTAAATTTGTCCTGTTTGATAGAAGACCCTCATCAAAATGCCAGATAAATGGGCTGCTTGACCTGGTAAGTGACCAGCTCACAGATGGGTAGATGAAGAGGCTGATGTGGGGGATGAACAGAAGGTGGAGGAAGACGCTGGGTGGGTGTGGGGAAGAGTGAGGAAGGTCGGTGAGGTCAACACGGGCAAGGTCCCCCCCTAAGTAACTATTGGCCGGAAAGTTGTCCAGCACTAAAGCCTTGATGTGGACAAAATTCCACCATAGACATGGGGATTGTAGCATGTCATTTGAGAGACATTTTTGCCAAGGTGGTCCTAAAACTGAGTTTGGCCCCTATTTGTGTGGAGTTTTTTTTGTTTGTTTGTTTTGGTAATTTTTTTCTTGGAATGCATTGAAAAAAAGTTTGCGGCTAATTGATGCCTAAATTTAAAGGTGAAAAACCTGTTAAAGGTAGCCTGTAAGTTCTGCAGGGGGAACTTTGGGTTTTCATATTTAAAGGTGATGGCTACAATTTCT